CTTCATTTTGTAAATGAGAGAAGGGAAAGCCAGAGAGCTAGAGACTTCTCTAGGGTTCAATGCACAGTTAAAAGTGGCAGTGCCAAGAACACAGTTTCAAATTCATGACTTTGGTCCATTGTTCTTTTTGCTCTATCATGTTGCCTGAAGAATCATTTTTCATTCTTAAAATCCTATTTTATTATTGCATTAGCAAGTGAAAGATTAATGGGTATATATTTTTTACTTTTTAAATGAGAAGTAAACACTTCTATTAACCACAGCAAAACAGTATTTACCATAACCTGAGCTCAGATGATAGCTTGGTTTCCCATACAACCTCCAGCAAATAGGCTTTCTAGATTTAAGCGCATATTGTAACAGTGATGAGCTTTTTCAATGTACTGCCTTTTTATTAAAATAAATTATTTGACCTATGATTATTAACTTACATGATACAAAAGAGGAAATCATTACCAGATTGGTGTTGTAGCAAATTTGGAAATTAAAGTAACACCTTATTTTTTTTTCATGTGTAATTTACAAAAAGAGAGGGTCCTAGATCTTAAAGGCATCATTTGATGAGTTCTGACAATAGCATATACCCACGTAATCCACACCCAGATCAAGGTATAGGACATTTTAACACCCCAGAAAAATCCCAGTGTCCTTCCAGTCAACAAATTCATCATCCTCTCATGGAGGCAACCAAGCACATATATTTTGTTTATATTTGGTAAGACTGGTTGTCTTTATTTTTATTGAATTGTAGGAGTTTGGGGTATATTCTGGATATAAGTTCTTTGTCAGATATATGCACTACAAATATTTTTTGCCAGTCTGTGGCTTATCTATACACTTACTGAATACTTTCTTTTGATAAGAAGTGTTCAATTTTGATAATGTGCATTTTAATAATTTTTTTTATAATTATGTCCAAACTTTTTATGTCCTGAGAAATATTTGTGTATCAAAAGGTATTGAAAATACTATTCAATATTTTCTTCTGGAAACTTCATACTATTAGCTTTTATGTTTGGTAGTTAGATCATCTCAAGTTAAATTTTATATATGAAGTGAGGCATGAGACAAGGTTTTTCCCCCATATCACGATCTTATTGTTCCAGCACCATTTATTGAAAAGACACTTCTTTCCCCATTGGAATAATTTGGAGTCTTAGCTGAATCTTCACAATTAAAGTATGAGTTTATTTTTGGATTCTATCCTACTCCATTGATATATTCTTATGTCAAAAGCATACTATCATTTTAGCTTTTTTAGAAGTCTCCAAATTCTTTGTAGGTACTCAAACTTTATTGATGTTTCCTTTGTCAAGATTTTTTAAAATTCTAAGTCCTCACATTTCAACATAAATTTTAGAAGTAATTGTCGGTTTATATCTTAAAAAAATGGATGAAATTTTGGTTAAGATTGCATTGAAACTATAGTTCAATTTGAGAATTGACATCTTAACAGTTCTGAACTTTCCAAAACACATAAGCATGATATATAGCTATTTATTTGTTACTTAATTTCTCTCAGTAGTGTTTTGCTGTTTTCAGTATACAAGCTTTGTACTTACTTTAATGTTAAGTTTATCTTAAGTAGCTTATGTTTTCTAATGCTAATGTAAGTTGTATTTGTTAATCATTTCATTCACTGAGTGCTACCATACAGAAATAAACTGACCTTGTATCATATAATTTCGCCTAATTCACTTATTCAAGTAGCTGCTTGGTGAACTGCTTAAAATTTCTCTATGTACTATCATATTGTCTGTAAATAAAGACAGCTTTACTTCTCCTTCCCATCTACATGACTTTTTTTTTAATCTTAGTTTATATCACTGGTTACAATTTAAATTACAAAGTAGAATAAAAATGATAAAGCAGATATGCTGGCCTTAAGCTCCAGGGAAAAGTGTTCAGTCATTCATCATTAGGTATGATGCTAGCTATAGGTTTTTCTTAGATGCTCTTCATCAAAATATTTTTCTTTTTCTGGTTTAGAGAGAGTTTTGATCCAAATGAGTTTTGGGTTTTGTCAAGTGTTTTCTGTGCATTTATTTTGGTGTTTACATATCTTCTAGATCGTTCTGAACTGTTTTGTTAAAGCTGTGAATTACACTGACTTTTGAATGCTGAACTGCAGAAATGGCATAAACCTCACTGCTGTGTTCACGGGCACGTGTGTGTGTGTTGTGCGTATACTGGTGCTGTTTTGTTAAAGAATTTTGCTTATGAGGGATTTCATCCTGTAGATATATTTTATTGTAGTGACTTTTTCTGTGTTAGATATTGGGCTAATGAGTTGTAGTGTTCCTTTCTATTTTGTAAATGAGTTTATACAGGATATGTATTATTTGTTGCTTAAATTTTTTTTTTTTTAAGATTTATTTATTTATTTATTTGACAGAGAGATAGAGAGCACAAGTAGGCAGAGCGGCAGGCAGAGGGAAAGGGAGAAGCAGGCTCTCTGCTGAGCAGGGAGCCCGATGCGGGGCTTGATCCCAGCACCCTCGGATCATGACCCGAGCCGAAGGCAGCCGCTTAACCGACTGAGCCACCCAGGTGCCCTTGTTGCTTAAATTTTTGATAGAATTCACAAGTGGAGCAATGTGGGCCTGGAACTTTCTTTGGGGGATTACTTTTAATTACTAATTATATTTTATTAATAGATACTAGGCTATTCGAATTCTATTTTTTTCTTTTATCAGTTTGTTCTCCCCACCAAGGAATTTGTCCATTTCATCAAAATTGCTGAGCTTATTGACATAAATGTTTTTAATATTTCTTTTTATCCTTTTAATATGTATAAGATTTATTACTAGCACCACTATTTTCATTACTGACATTGGCCATTGTGTACTCTTTTTTCTTGGTGAACATAGATAGGGAGACTATCAATTGTAACAATCCTTTGAAAGAACCACAGTTAATTTCATTAATTGCTTTGTTTATCTATTTCATTAATTTATGCTCCTCTCATTATTTTTATTATTCTATTTACTTCGATTTGAACTTGCTTCTTTTTTTTTAACTGCTCATATTGGAAGGATAGATGATTGATTTTTAAACCTTGTTTTTTTTTTCCCAAACTAAACACATAGAGCTATAAATTTCCCTCTAAGCACTGTTTTACCTTCCACAAATCATAATTTTTTGTCCTTATCATTCACCTTTGAATATTTTGTTTGTTGTTAATTCTTCTTTAACTCATAGGTTTCTTAGGAATTGCTTAATTTCTAAATATTTGAGGCTTTTCTAGACGTCATTTTTTTAAAAAGATTTTATTTATTTATTTGACAGAGAGAGAGACAGTGAGAGAGGGAAGACACCAGTGGGAGTGGGAGAGGGAGAAGCAGGCTTCCCGCAGAGCAGGGAGCCTGATGCGGGGCTCGATCCCAGGACTCTGGGATCATGACCTGAGCCGAAAGCAGACGCTTAACGACTGAGCCACCTGGGCGCCCCTAGATGTCATTTTTTATTGATTTCTATTTTAATTCCACAGTGGTAAGAAAATATACTAGTATAATTTAAATCTTTGAAACTGAGACTTTTTAAATGGCTCAGGATATGTCCTATGTTGGTGAATGTTCTGTGTGCATTTGTTTGAAAGGAATTATTATTCTTCAGGTTGTTAGAGGCAGTGCTCTATAAATGTCAATTCCATCAAGTTGGTTAATAAAGTTTTTCAAGTTGTTTATGTTCTTACTGATTTTCTCTCAACTAGTTCTATCATTTGCTGAGAGAGGAGTTTTGAAATATACTGTAGCTGTACATACATCTGTTTTTCCTTTATTTTCTGTTAATATTTGCCCCAATCATTTTGAAATTCTGCTACTAGGTACATGCACACTTATTATTCTTCTTGAAAAATTGTTCTTTTTATCATTATGAAATGTTCCTCCCTACCTCTAGTAATACTCCTTTCCTTGAAATCTATTTTCTCTAATATATTACTACAGCTAGTCTACCTTTCTTAAAATTAGTATGTGCATGTTCCTTAAAAAAAAAAAGCTTCTTTATCTGATAATCTTTGTCCTATAATTGAAATATTTAGCTTAGTCACATGTTTGGAAAGTAATTTTATCTACTGACTGTTTAGTTATATCTTTTTGCATTAATTTTAGTGAGTCTTCTAGGAATTGCAATATGTGTACTTGACTTTTCAGTCTACTTAGAATATTGTAATAGTTCTTGAAAAATATATAAACCTTGCAATGTTATAGATCCATTTTCCTCTCCACATTCCCTTATACTATAGTTGTCATAGGCATTACGGCTACACCATTATATACCCCAAATGTTATAATTTGTATTTGATTAGTTCTAAGTATTTTAGAAATTAAGATAAAAAGAAATAGGCTTCTAAATTTGCCTAGATATTTATCAGTTTTGACAATCTCAATTCTTTCTGAAGATCTGAATTTTCATTTGGTATTACATTTCACCCTTGAACAACACAAACACCCCTGGGGCAGTGGAAAATCATGTATAAGTTTTGACTACCCAAAAGCTTAACTACTAATTGCCTACTGTTGATTAGAAGTCATCTGTAACATAAACAGCCCATTAACACATACCTTGTTTACATACACATATTTTGTATGTGTTAATATACTGCATTCTCACAATAAACTAGAGAAAAGAAAATATTAAGAAAATCATAAGGAAGAGAAAATACATTTACAGTACCATAAAAAAATCTACATGTAAGCAGTATGCCTAGTGGTCCCCTTGGATTTGCGTTTTGCTTCGACAATGTTCAGATGGAACAGAACCGGAGATGCCACTTCTTCCAGCCTCCCACCACCCTCCAACCTCTTTTCCAGTCACAACCCTCAGAACCATCTTCTCAGCCATCCTTTGCCTCTAGGACCAGCCAACACCGTTTTTCTGAGCTTAGCTCTTTAAGCCCATCAACCGCGAACTCCCAGATTTGTTAGAATTATTCCACCCAGACGGAGGCCGCCCTCAACCACCCGGTCATCAGGCATCGGCCGGCCTCTTACACCTACCTCTCTCCCGGCATCTATTTCCACCGACCACGGGGCTCCGGAGGGCTGCACCACTTCTAGGAGTCGGCCAAGGAGAAGCAGGAGAGCCCCAAGCGACTGAAGATGCAAAACCAGAGCAGCGGCGGCGCCCTTTTCCAGGACACCCAGAAGCTGACCCAACATAAGAGAGGGTGAGGGGGAAACCCCGAACGCCATTAAAGCTCCCCCTCTTCTGGAGTAGACCAGAACCAGGCCCTTTTATATCTGCACGCCCCGGGCTCTGCCTGCGCAGACGCAGTGACTTCCCGGAGAACCACTTCCCGGAGAAGGAGGTGAAACTCGTCAAGAAGATGGGCGACCACCTGACTAACCGCTGCAGGCTAGCCGACCGTGAGGCTAGGCTGGGCTGGACGAGTATCTCTTGGGAAGGCTCACCCTCGAGCAAGGCGGGGAGACTCCAGAGCCCAGCCGCCTTTGGTTATCTATGAGAGGGGCCCCCTGGCATCAGGGCCTCTGCTTCGTCTTTCCCCGCCTCCATGTGGCAAATTTTTAACCACCCTGGAGCCCAAATCAAATGGAAACAAGAAAGCTTTTTTCAGGGCTGGGGAGGAGGGGGAGAAAGAAAAGAAAAAAAAAATCTGTGTTTAAGTAGATCCACGCAATACAAACCTGTGCTGTTTAAAGGTCAACTGTATATCATTTCATAATGAAGAATTTCCTTTATCATTTTTTTGTAGTGTAGGTCTACTAAGGATAATTTTTTAAAGTTTTTAACCCCATAAAATGTCTTTTTTTCTCTTTCTTTCTTGATAGGTATTTTGTAGGATATAGAATTTGGGAGGGCAGGTGTTTTTTGGGTCTTTCTTTCTTTCTTTCTTTTTTTTCTCTTTTAGCGCTTTAAAGATGTTTCCCCACTGTCTTCTGGTCTTTATTTGTCCAATTATTGCTCCCTCTATAATGTGTCGTTTTTCTTCAGCTACTTCAAAATTGTCTCTTTATATTGGGTTTTTAGAAGCTTGACTGTGAAGTTTCTAGTCATGCTTTTCTTTGTATTTGTCCTGGTTAGGGTCTGCTAGTTTTCTTGAATTTATAAACTATCTGTTTTACAAAACTTGGGATATTTTTAGCCATTATTTCATCAAATATTTTCTCTGTCCTCCTCTCACTCTCTTCTGCTTCTGGAATTCCAGTTCCACTTGTTAGTCCTTTGATACTGTTCCAGAGGTCCAAGAAGGTCTGTTCTTTACATGTTTTTTTCTCTAGGCTTCAAAATATGTAATTTCTATTTATCTGTTTTTGAGTTCAGTGTCTCTTTACTCTGTCATCTCCTTTTTTACTGATCATCCCATCCAGTGAACATTTTTTTAGCACATTGTATTTTTCAGTTCTACAATTTTCAGTTGGATTTTTATATACTTTTTTTCTGAAAAAAACAAAAGAGAGATGTCTCCTTTTCATTCACTTGAGCATTTTTTTAAACAGCCTGATGTTAATTATAGTAGTGCTTTGAAATCCATGTATTTAATTCCAAGAGCTGAATCCTCTCAGGGTTTGTTTCCTTTGATTGCTGTTTTGTCTTAGAAATGGGTATGTTTTTCTGCATTCTTATTAAATGAGTAAAATTGGATTGTGTCTTGGACATTTTGAATGTCGTATTGTAGATAATATGGATTCTGGAAATTTCAACTTGGTCTTACACTCCAAACAATCTTGATAGCATCTCAAACCTTAGTTCAGTTTTGTTTTGTTTTGTTTTGTTTTTGTTTTTTTGCTTTTCTCCCCCTCTCCCCTTGACTGGAGTCTGTCCCACACATGCATATTTCAGAGGTAAATCAGAGATTTGGGCAGAGTTTACACAAAGTTAGCACTCCCAGTGTCTGACTCTCCTTATCAGAATGCACACTTTTTTTTAAGATTTATTTGTTTTTTATTATAGAGAGAAAGAGAGATAGTGTATGCATGAGGGGGAGGGGCAGGGGGAGAGGGAGGGAGAAAATCTCAAGCAGACTCCCCGGACTGTGGAGCCTGACGTGGGGCTCGATCTCACGACCCTGAGATTATGACTGAGCTGAAATCAAGAGTTGGATGCCTAATGGACTGAGCCACCCAGGTGCCCCAGAATGCATACTTTCGTTTAAGCGGCTGGGATTTCCCCAGACTCTATCCTTTAGGTCTTCAGTTTAGAAAGTCTACGTGTTTTTTAATTAAAATTTAGTCACTCCATGTGTGCCAAATTTCACCTGCTTTCAAGATAAAAGATTTAAAGCCCAGTAAGTCACCCTGTGCTGTTGCCTTTCTCAGGTGTCTATTTGCCTCCAGAGTCTGACTGCTTTTGTTATTAGTTCTTCATTGCTTTTAAGCACTGTTTTTGGTTTGTTTTTTTGTTTGTTTGTATAGAATTTTGTATAGACCTTGTAGTGGTTATCTATGAGAGGTTACCATCTTGTAGGAGCTACTCAGCCGTTCCAGAAGAGCACCTAGTCTATTTCCATTTAATATAATTTTTGCTATGATTGGTTTAAGCCTGCCATTTTGTTGTTTTCTATTTGTGCATCTGTTCTTTGCTATTTTCCTTCTTTTATAGCTTTATTTTGCCTTAGTTATTTTAATATTCCCATTCACTTCTTAATTAGTATTCCATTATACCTCTCTGTTTTGCTTTGCCTGTTGTGTGTGTGTGTTTTTTCTAGGATTGCAACATATATCTTTTTTTTTTTTTTTTGCAACATGTATCTTCTACCCTTAATTTTTTGAGGAACCTCTGAACTGTTTTCCATAGCTGCTGCACATTTTCCATTTACCAAAAGTTTACAAAGATTCCAATTGCTCCACATCCTTTCCAACACTTGCTGTCTTTTGTTTTTCAAATAATAGCCATCTTGACAGGAATGGAGTGATATCTCATTGTGGTTTTGATTTGCATTTCCCTGATAATTAATGACATTCAGCAATTTTTTCTATACCTGTTGACTGTATGTTATCTTTGGAGAAATGTCTAATTCAAGTTCTTAGCTTTTTTTAAATGGGGTCATTATTTTTTGCTGTTGAGTTGTAGGAGTTTCTTATATATTTTGGAGATTAATCCTTTGTTAGATATATGGTTTGCAAATATTTTCTCCCATTCTGTAAGTTGCCTTTTCACTCTGTTGATTGTTTTCTTTGCTGTACAGAAGCTTTTTAATTTAATGTGGTACCATGTGTCTATTTTTGCTTTTGTCGCCTGTGCTTCTGGTTTCATATTCATGAAATCATTGCTAGAATTCAAACCCAAGTTCAGCCAAACTCCAAGCATCATGACCTTATTTGCTGTGTGGTGTTGCCACCAATTTAAGGAGCAAACTGAAAAAGAAAGCAAAAGTGCCATACCTGTCACCAGGCCTGAAGAGAGTTCACAGAGGAAAGGGCAGAGTGGTTCCAACCAATGGCAGGATATTTCTTTGTATTCAAACATTATGGTGTGGATTTGTTAGAAGCCCAGGCTTTAGACTCAGATAGACTTCCATCACATATTTCTTTGAGACTCAGTTTCTTGACCTGTGAAATAGGGATAAAAAGCTGTGTAATATACTTGTTATTAGAATTAAATTAAGTAATGTATATACAGTGCCTAGTAAATAAATAGTAACAATTTTTATTATGTCTTTATTTGGTCTAACTGCAAAAAAAGAAAGATAGTGTTCTTCAGGGTAGAGCAGAGAATTATCAAGACTAGAATGAACACTGTATTACCTCAAAAACATTAATCCAAGTAGTTTTATTCATATATTGAAAATAACCTGTTTATTTAAAACTTCTTCCAATAAGCACTTTTATCTTGTGGTTTTAAACAATATATGCCTTGGCAGTAAATAGCTGAGTGGTCTCTTCAAACTTGCATAAATTTCAAACCAGATTTTCACTCTCCAAACTAATTGAAAACAAATCCTGAAAAATCATGGAAGGCAAATGGAACTGAAAAATCTGCTAGTATTTAAACAGGCCTCAGGACCCCTAAGTAACATTAAAAAGTACCATGAGAATGAATCAAAACAATATAATTGCTTGAGATTGCTGTGCATGTAAATATGGAATCAGTCCCGAAGGACTGGATGGGTAATAAGTATTTCTCTTTTATATGTCTGTTGGCTCTGACCCTGGAAACACTCAGCTGGGAACTGGTGTGTCTGCTCTGATGTCTGGGTGGACTACAGCTGGGCAACATCACCATGCCTGTGCATGAGAAGGAGTGGTTCCGCCCTCCTCCCTCTCAATCCTTCTGACATCTGCTAATGAACTCCAGAGGACTGACTTTGCAGAGCCCATCCCTCCTGTAGAGGAGGAATATTTGGTACAATGATGAATGGCCTACACCCAAGCTAAATAGACAAAAAGTGATTAAATGTAAGCCATTGAACAACAACAAAAAAAGCATACAAATTATAGCAGGCATCAGAGTACCTCTTCCCAGGATTACTCTGATAGGAATACCACCCCACCTATTCGATGTTTGCAAAGCAAACTTTCACTTATGTTAATTAACAAAATATATGTCCACAAGAATTAGATGGTTGTCCCATGTATAACTTTCTCTTAAGTAGTGAATTGCCTTTTCTTCAGTACAGTGACATTAATGTCCTTTTTAACATTTGCTAAATCTGTATGTTTTTTTTGTTTGTTTGTTTAAATACAATGGAGCAATTCAGTAAGATATTATAAGATTTCATCCAGTGAGGAGAAAAGCTAATGCTGTCTAGAAAGCATGGCTTAAAATTTCTCAAAGCTGTGTTTACCATCCTGCCTAAATTATGCAGTCAGAGTTTATAAACTATTAGGGCCTTTAGATCTTCAGATTGGAAACATCTTCAGATTTAGAAAAGCTTCATTGTTTGATTTGAACTTTTCGGTTTAAAATAATTAGGGTTGAATGGGAACATAATCCTCTCACTAACATGTTTTTTTCCTCAGTAAGTCTGAGGAATTTACATAAAGATGCAATCTTGAAGAAAAAAAAAACGAAAAATGAAAAGAACTTTGTTCCTTTTCACTTAATACCGAATAACAAAATTGCAAAATATAGAACATGATGT